CAGCCCGACCGGACGCTGGACATGCAGCGCAAATTGGGCCAGAACCCATCCCCATTGCATCACGCAGATCTAGACACAATCGACGACATGGAGTTGGACGACGCCCTAGGAGACGGAGATGGATCAGGCTCGCAGATGTTCTCTTCTCAGCTGCATGACGGTGGACAGGGCGGATATGGTAACTCCAACCAGCAGCAGTTAAATCTGGGCATGCTTCCAAGCCACCAAGGATTTAGCACACCCTCGCAACCCGGTACACCGATCGGATCTGGACGACCACTTTCACTGCAGAACAATCCAACTGTCTCTTCTGTCAATACCCCAACTTTGATGGCCAACCCGCTCCAAAATTCGCAATTCCGAAATACACCCGATTCATCCGGACCAGGGACCCCGGCCGAAATTGACGAAAGCATGATGGGTGGATTCGGTGATCTCAGTATGCAAAATAACACCATGGGCCAAAATCAGAATCAGTTTGGCCGATTCAACGGGAACAATAATGACATGGTCGATCTCTGCATCGACGAGCCGGCCAAGCGGCTGTTCAGCCCCAGTGGCGGCATGGGTTCGCCCAACGCCCACTTTAAGCTCAGTGGAGCTCAATATGGCCCGAATAGCGATATTGCACGACGGATCCGCGAACAACAATTGCTGGCCGGTGTTCCCGACACCACCGTTATTCTTCCCAACGAAGAGCCCAAGCCGTTCCGATGCCCCGTTATCGGCTGCGAGAAGGCATACAAGAACCAAAACGGACTCAAATACCACAAAGCTGTAAGTTTGATTTGATACCGCACACATTTGTCTTGATTTCTAACCCCCTCCTTTCATTCCAGCATGGCCATAATAACCAACAACTTCATGACAACGCCGATGGCACGTTCTCGATCGTCAACCCAGAGACGTCAGCACCATACCCCGGCACGCTTGGCATGGAGAAGGAAAAGCCCTACCGCTGCGAGGTGTGCGGCAAGCGATACAAGAATCTGAACGGACTCAAGTACCATAAATCGCACTCACCACCCTGCAACCCGGATTTCCAACTCGGAGGTCGCAACCTTGCCCTCGGCGGTGGAGTCATGCAAGGGCAGAACATCAACGTTGCTGGAGCTGGCCTCCCCGGAATTGGCGAAGAAGGCCTTCTGTGAACCCGTGAACAAATATGTCATTATGTCCATACATAATTCCCAGCTAATTGACGCGAACGATCTCGACGGCTTTCGGGGGTGAGAGCACTCTCCTACACACACGATGTCATGATTTTGAATTGGGTCCGGTCACTTTGGAGTTATTGCTTTTCTTTTTCTCTCTTCAAAAATTGTTCTCTCTGGTTTACTTATTGACTGGGCTTTGTGATGCCCTTTTGCTTTTCGTTCTGCTGTTTGGTAGATCCTACTGGCATGGTCGTTTTACCTCCTCGCTTGATATCCCTCGCCACTTCCAGATACCATCTGCTTGGCCTGGTAATAGAGCAATTCTTGAGCGATCAAGACCAAGATCAATACCCTCTCTCAGCAAAGAGCTGTCTAGAAGAAACTGCTTGCACTTGTCTGCTTTCTCTCTCTCTCTGTGTGTGTGTGTGTATGTGTGTTCATCTTGTTTTGCTTTTTCATACGGCATTCGCGTCTTCTATGGGAGAAAAACTAGGGGTATTGGATATCTCCCTAGCCCTCCTCTCCCCATCCTGATTCCTCTATTTTGCTGCGTTCTGGCAAGAATGAGCTTCGTGCCTTGTTTCCGCGTTCGTGCCCCCCCCCCCCCCCCCCCCCCCCCTCCTCTCTCATTGCGTTCAGTGTCTTCGCTCAGTGTCTTCGCTCATGTGCGCACTTCCAAGACAGTCGCCCACCCGCGAGTTCCGAGAAGCCTTGAGAGCGCCTGGAACCAAACAGCACAAAATAGTTGGCGAAATGGGATTGGCTGGGTTTAACTGGAATGGTGTGCGAGGTAGGATATACCTGGGGTGGTTACTCTTCTCCCATCATCTTTCACACCCAGTCGGTGTTCGCTTCTTCCCTGCATCTCTTCTAGGGATGGGACAGGGACTGAATCTGGGATCTGGAAATCTTAAAAAGTGCGGTTTCTTGGCGTCGGATCATTGTAGATATGAATTTTTTTTTGATATGATTTGGCTCTTTTTGCCCATTGTCATTTATCTTCCTTTTTCCCCTTGTCTTGCTATTCATTTATTCTTCTTGACTTCATTTTCGGTTACGTCTGTTATTGTAGATCCGGGCTCTGGACTTAGACTTGGTAGACTAATTGGCTTTTTAGTACCTACTATCCCAAATAATGGCATTTCTGTCTAGACCTCCAAGCAGATGGTTGCAAATGATAATAAGCCTAGTGGAACTCCATGAGTTTTTCAGAATCATATTTTCATTTGTGCTTGTTTTGTAACTAGCAAGATCTCCGTCTTTCGATCTAGTACAAACCCAACCTTGAAGGTATGGCAGGGAGCATAGAGGCAGGGGGAAAAAAAAGCAGAATACCATCCTCACTTGTAAGCGCCGTGAGCCACTGGAAGCTCAAAATCAAAGAAAAAAAAAAGCAAAGACCCTGCTGACCATGTCGATATTTGGGTAGTGAGAATCATGAGAAATATTTCGCTTGTACAAACCGTTTCGAGAGCGTGGCTGAAAAGACGTAGGGGTTGGTTTTCGTTTGTGTCATGAGATAGAGCACATGATGAGCAAAAAATTGTTACAGAACGAGGAAAGAGATGTCGTCAATGGAAACTGGAAGACGGATTGAGAAAAAAAAAAGATTGGCGTAATCGTGTCGTTTTGACTACCACTCAAATTCACCTTGGCCCTTGTGGAATACGTACCTAGTAGGGTTAGTATATGCATAGCATGGCACACTGAAATAACTTACTCTTTGCCACCAGTGGTCAGGATGCCATCCTTCAAGGTGCACTTCCACTTGTTCTTCACCCGCTGGACCTTGTCGTATGTGCAAAGCATGACCTGACCCTCCGACTCATCTGCGTCATGGTCGTCAGCCACGAGGTCATCTGGATCATCCAGGTCCGAATTGATGGCGTCTTCATCTTCCTCTTTGACGTCGTCTTCTCCGCCATCGAACTGGCCAGTGACGCGAGGGGTAGATGAAGTTGACTCGGTAGTGCTTTGGCTGAGGGGTGCGGTGAGAGCCACACGGCGAGCGACCTTGGAAGAGGACTCATGTTCTTCCAAGGGACGAAGGAGACCTCCACCCTCATACTGAGACATGCGCTGCTTGAGGTGCTCGCGAAGAAGTCGGTCCCCTTCACCACTCTCGGCAGCTGCTCTGCGGCGTGCTACCTCTGCCTTCCAGTCGGCCATTGGGTTGTCACCTCCACCATCGGTCTGTCCAGGACCCATGTGCGGGTAGTTCTGCTCTTGTTTGATTGGTGGCATTTGCCCGTGGGGATTGGGGTGCATCTGCGGGTATCCTTGTCCAGCTTGGGCCTGGGCTTGCATTTGGTGGACGGAGTTGGCGGCTGCAGCGCCGTATTTCTGGTGAAGCGCATTTGCAGCACGGTCGCGAGCCGACTGAGGGTTGAGACCATGCGGGGGCATAGGTGAATTCATGTGCGGCATTCCGGGTTGGCCATTAGATCCTGGCTCGGTCTTGATGCGAGGGCCACCCATGGGCATGGGGTGCGAGGGCGCAGCTTGGGGCATAGGTGGGGGAACATATTGCGGCTGGGGAGGAGGTTGTCGGGGAGCGTTGGAGGGGACAGTAACCGCGGGGAGGGGAACAGAATGCTGCTGAGCAGGCTGAGGAGCGGGATCCCAGGGGAAATGAGCGACGTTCACAGAAGAAAGCTTATGCTGCCAGGTCTGTAGATATAATAATTAGTCCAAAGTTACCAAAGGTTGCATAATCACAGAATCTTGGCGGTCTAAAAGCGCCTAAGCGGGTAACAGCGGCACATATAAAGGGAAGACTCATAAGCCCGTGTCCCCCCATAAGCACCGCCTCCCGCACTACCTCGACCATCCCCGCTTTTGGGGAAATCAACCACACCAGACTTTGACAACACAGATATATAGATGAAGGAAAATGGTACTAACCTCGCGCAGATCATGCAGGGTCTGCTGGTCGACACCGCTTTCCTCAAAGTCGACCTGGGAGGCGTCACAGACCTCCTGGATGACTTTCTCGAAAACCGCACCCTATGAAGCCTTATGTGTCAGCTCTCAGCTCGGATCAAAGAAACTTCAAAAGATCCAAAGATGAATCAGGAGAACACGGTTATAAATGAAGAGTAAAGACTCTATGTGAGCAACGGCTTGGGATAGACAGGGTTGCCGGAGAAGAGAAGCTGGGACTTACCACTTGCTGGTTGGACATGGTTGCTGAGCAAGAACACCTTGATAAGCTGGTGGATGATTATGTGAAAGGAACAGAGGGCAGGCAATATGGTGATTGAAGTGTACTAGGTGATGATAGCTTGACTAGTAGAGTGCTCCGTCGCAACTATCAAGTTGCCGAAGTGCTGGTCGATCACCACGAATGACGCAATATCAAGCAATTTGAGAATCTGTAGTTTTCACACAAATAGAAAAGAGAAGGGATACTTTGAAAGACCGACACAAGTGCAAATGTCAGAGGGAAATGAGACGGTGAGTTTCCCGATGGGTTGGCGAAGGTGAAAGTCACGGCTCTGCGGTCGAAATCCCACTGTATCCCGGAGGCTTAGTCATCGGCCAACCCACTTTAAAGTAGAAACTTAGAAGTAAATTGGAGAAAGAGTAAAGGTATAGATGAAAGAGAAGTTGGATGAGAAAAATGAATTAATGCAGCCGTAAGAATGGCATCTGGACAATTTGTACAGCCAGCTTACGGCAAAATAAATACAGAGAACCACCACCAGAACACCGAAATCCAAAAAAGAACCATTAGCCATTACACCGAAATCAATGTCCCAGCCCATCAATGCTTTCAATATCACCATGAACCAGGGTATCCCAACGAGAAAACAGACAAAAAGAAAATTGTGCAAAGAGCGTCTAACGAATGGTCATAGACTTTGTCATCTGAGCCTTGCTGCCGACACCACCCTCGCGGGCAGAGGAGGCACTGCTACCAGCCTTGCGCTCGAAGATCTTCCAGAACTTCAAGCTCTCGTCAGCGGCAGTAGTGGCCAGCATCTGTCCATCAGGGCTGATAGCACTGTGGAGGACACGAGTCTCGTGAGCAGGGATCTCGACATTGCGAACCAAAGTCGGGTAGCTCCAGATACTGAGAGAGTTGTCGGGGAAGCCGCTCGAGCTGACAATCTCACGGTAGTGGTTGCTCCAACGCAGAGAAGTGACTTGGGAGCCAGTGTCAATGCTGTTGGTACGGGCACCGGTGGTGGTGTTCCAGAAGTGAATGTGACGGTCGTAGGAACCACCTCCAGTGGCAAGGAGGTTGGATTGCCAAGGGCACCAGCTCAGAGCTTTGACGGCGGCACGGTGGTTGGTCTTGGTGAACTTGGGAGCGCTCAGCGAGCGAGCATCCCAGATGTTAACGAGGTTGTCGTTTCCACCAGTGGCGAGCTGAGCGCCATCAGCGCGCCATTCGAGACCGCAGACCTCCGAGGTATGGGAGACCAGCTCAGCGATCTTGTGCTCTGCGATACGAACGTCGTGGTTGTAGACAAGGCCACTACGGGCTCCAGTGGACAGAGTGTGCTTATTCCAGCCCATAACACCGACGCGAGAGTCGTGGCCGTACATGCTGCGAAGCTTGGAACCTTCTTCAACATCCCAAATCTGGACCTCACCGGTTCCCAAGCCAACACCAACGTAGGCACCGTCACCACTCCACTTCACACTGCTCACATATGTGTCGGGGGAGGTTTCCAAAAGACAGTTGACAGAACCAGACTCAGCAGACCAGACATAAACATTTCGCTCGAGCCCGATGGCGACCTGGTTGCCAGAGCTCCAGTCGAGCAAATTGAGATAGTAGTCATCCAAAAGACCTGGGGCATCCAAAACCCGTTCAGGTGCAGTTTGAACACGACGACGGAACTGGGCAGCTGTCGATTTGGCAGGGCGGAGGGGGCGGTTATATTGAGCACGAAGATCAATAGGCTTCGATGACTCGGGAGGGGGAGGCTTAAAGGCGAGGATGCGAGTATTCATGTTCACTCCACAAGCTTCAGCCAGAGATGATTTGTAGGCCACGGCATCAGGAGCTGGGCGAGTGTAGGTAGAAGGCTCATTGTCATCCAAACCCAAGTTCTCCAAAGCAGCAGTAAGGTCATCATCCGATCCACGCGCACCAATGTCAAAAGCGCTGGCCGCCGAGGCGAGGACTGATGATCCGTCAACCCCACCACTCTTAGGGCGTTGTTTCTCTTCCGGCTTTGCAGCCCCGCTAGTGGCTAGACCTTCACTTGCGGTCCTGTTGGGAATAAAACGGTCACCGGCGTTGTGGGGGATGCGCACAGTCGTCTTGCTGGCACGAGCCCGGGTGGGGATCTCCCGACGGACATGCTCCTTGGAAGGAGTGTTGGCCGTTGTGGCACTTGTGCCGGTCAAAGTCCAGTCCGAGACACCGAGCTCCAAGTGCTTGGGTGACTTGCGGGTGCGGGTGCTGGCAATGTTCGACTTGTTTGTCTTGGGAGAGTTATGGTGGGTGGTGCGGGCAGCTTTCGAGATGGACTTCGCGAAGTGGGCAGAGAGGTTTCCACCATATACTGACTTGGCTTGACTGCGGCCAGCATCAGACTGGCGAGGAGGAGTGAAGGGTGACGAGTGGCCGCTTGCGCGGGGATTAGGCGAAGGGCTCAGAGGCATACGACCTCCAGCCGTCTTGGAGGAGAAGAGCCCATGGTGGCTCTTCACCGGAGTTGAGGCAGTAACAGAAGCCATAGTAATATATCAGAGTAGATGTAATGGGACCAACCCCAATAGAAGATGCAATACGAATCGACACAACAGTTAATGCAATATTAACCAACAGAAAGGTATGCAGACAATTGAGGATAGTGAGAAAATGGAGAAAGAAATTGAAAGGGAGGGTCAGGAGAAAACCGAATAAATAGAAGGTAGTTACTATACTCGTTGAAAAGTATGAGGCTCTCCCCATAGCAACGGTTACCTCAGCTACATAATACGCTAACCCATATTGGGACTAGTGTCAACACAATGGCGCTTGCCTTCTTTAGTGACGATCGCCTTGGCATTGAAATCTGATTGTCTAATTCAGGAACAAAGGTAAGATTCTCTATACAGAATATCATCTTTCATAGACAAATGAGAAAAGATGTCGTGATTTATTACTAGTTTGCATGTCTAATTCAAGGATTCCCTTTTTCTTTTCTCGCCACTGGAATGGCAAATCTCTTCTTTCCAACCCCCCACCACGTTCTTTTACCCAGTTCCACCGAGACCCACCACTTCTCCCCTGGGGATCTTCGAGGGTCCTAACCCGATATCCTGTTGTACTCCTATGGCAATGCAGGACGCTTACTTGTTACCTGCCAGTCAGGGTCGCCGGACCAGCGCGGATTATCGACCCAGCATAAAAAGGGCTCAGGGCCATGTCCCCGCCTGCCTGGTCAATGCCTCGGTGACGTACTGCAGCAATGATCGCATTTATGCGTTCGGGGGGTTTGACCAGTTTACCGATGAAGGTTGACACGCCTCCTTCACCTATAATCTCCTAGAAATGACACTGATAATCTTTTAGTTTACAACCATGTTCTTAGGCTGGACTTGGAGACTTTGCAGTGGGAGCTCGTTGACAACTACGGCGATATCCCCGGAGTTCGCATGGGTACTCTCTCTTCTCATTCGTTCATGTTTAGTGATAAATTTTCTAACTATAAATTTTATTTCTTGATAGGACACACGGCAACATTATACCAAGGAGATAAATTGATTGTTTTTGGAGGCGAAAATGAGCATCGCGAATACCTCTCCGACGTCGTCATCCTTGATCTCAATACCTTCACCTGGGCACTTCCCGAAATTCGCGGGTCGATCCCGCGCGGCCGAGCCCGCCATGCTGCTGTCATTCATGAAGACAAGCTTTTTATTGTGGGAGGGGTGGCAGGTGTAGGAGGCGTGACAGGGGAGAAGAATATGATCTTGGACGACTTGACCTACCTGGATCTACAAACATGGACTTGGTCTCGAACGTGGAGCTTCACTGCTCGCTTCGATCATACAGCTTGGGTTTGGGGCACACGACTGTGGATATTTGGTGGATTGGGTTCGAACATGGAACGAACGACTGATATCTGGTGGCTCGACCTGAAGGGATCTCCATCGCTGGCCGGAAACACTACTCCCCAAGGTAGCGTCAACTCCCTGGACATCAATCTTTCTACGGCTCATCCTCCAGACTCTATATCTAGCAGCACTCACCAAATGTCTCCCCGCTCCGGAATCTACGCCGCCAATTCAGGCAGTGTGCAGGTACGCAATTTGGGTCGGCGCAAGCCAGTTGCGCCTGGTGCCATATCTTGTCTTAGGTTTGATTCTGGTCCTCATGTCCCCTCCCTATTTTCTGGCACTCATTTCCATTCATTTGCATCCGGTGTCCTGCTCGACTTGATTACGCCGTCGGAGACCGTACGGTCGCATGATTGTAACCTGTCAGCCCTGGACCTCAACTCGCTGCGCTGGCAACGGCTAGCTGATGGCCAAGAGATCTTCCGGCCTGGATACCGATGGCACTACTGCACTGTCAATGACACGGGGACCAAAGCTTGGCTCTTGGGATGTAGCCTTGATGTCGCGAATGTACCGGGAGGTAGTGACGAGAATCACATGAGCGAAGTCTTGACTATCAACCTGGAGAAGTATGGTTTGTTAGGTAACGGCCTGTCGACAGAACCTCCTGAACAAGGTGCGCCTTGGCCGTCGCATCAAATGGGCCCGTCTCTGGTCTCCGGGCTCGGAACCGATCTAGCCGCTGTTTTTGACCAAACCCCTGAGTCTGGAAGTGATACGGACTTTGTCATCACTGCTATCTGTGACGATCATGACGGATCCGTATCGGAGGACATGGGGGACACGCCGTCCGTCTCCCCAACCCAAGCTCAGCCGACCTTTGTGGAACAGAACCCCTGGACCTCAGATCCCATCCATGTCCACCGAATCATTTTGCAGCTCAGGTGGCCACATTTCAAGCGCCTGTACTCCGCCCAGATGGCGGAGTACCATACTAAGCGGATGCACATTCCCGAGCCTTATTCAGTCGTGCGCGCGTTTCTCTATTACTTGTATACAGACAGTATCACCGGCCATCCAGACCATTGCTCGAGTGCTATCGATGTGGCGGGTATGCTCGTTATGGCCAATCTTTACGACATGCCGAAGCTTCGCCTTCTGTGCGTCAATAGGCTGAGTCAGGAGCTTGATGTAGACAACGCGGCGATCGTCTGGGAGCGTGCCGGACGGACCAATGAGCATTGGTTGATGCGCCGAGCTGCGCAGTTTTGCCTGACATACTGGGGTCGCGTGGTACGAACAGACGGGTTCAAATCCCTCAGCCACCAGAGTCTGATCCAACTCTGCGAGGTAGTGGATACGGAAGGTCGTATCTTCGCAGGGCCTGAATTGGAGATGGTCACATTCGGGACAGATTGCCTAAGTGACCGAGACAAAAGCTCACGATTGCTGGGATCTAGTACAGATGAGATGTCCGAGGTTGATGGGGACGATGAAGGGATGGAGATGTCATGACACGAATGGGGCACGCATTATGATCCGGAGTTCTTGGCGGCTGTATTTACATTTTGCATCTGTAACAAGTTTTGAATATACAAGTTCCTTTTTCGGCCCGTCCAACCGTTGGCAGTGAGCCCATTCGTCATCAGCCGAGGTGGAGCCTCTCGACGTTTTTGACACGGACTCAACTCCGGATCGCGGAGGTCGTTCCTGTCACGATAAGGAAGCTCTGGAGAGTTGTCTCACACTCTGGGTTCAACAAAATGAAAAAATGTTGAAACTACTTAAATATCGATGTGTTCTCGGATTCGAAATTTGGTTGGCATACGGCTTCTACAGCTATTTGATTGACACTTCATTTCACCATGGGATCCATCGAGCAATCCACTCTTCCTTCAGATTTCCTCTGGGGCTTTGCAACAGCCGCATACCAGATTGAGGGAGGTGTTAATGAAGATGGTCGTGCCCCGTCAATTTGGGATACATTCTGCAAGATCCCCGGCAAGATTGCTGGCGCTGGAACTGGAGATGTAGCTTGCGACTCCTATCACCACACACAGGAGGATATCGCCTTGTTGAAAGAATGCGGTGCTCAGGCATACCGGTTCTCTCTGTCATGGTTCGTCTCTTTTCGTGTTGCTTCGAGCTTCAATCTTTTAGGTTGCTAACTTCGGCTTGTCTGAATCTATAGGTCCCGCATTATCCCTCTCGGCGGTCGGAACGATCCAATCAACAAAAAAGGCATACAGTTCTACCAGAAGTTCGTGGATGACCTGATTGAGGCGGGCATTACTCCCATGATCACTCTCTTCCACTGGGATCTGCCGGATGAGCTCCACAAGCGCTACGGTGGACCTCTCAACAAGGAGGAATTCGTGGCCGATTTCACAAACTATGCCCGCGTGGTATTCGAGGCCTTTGGATCCAAGGTCAAGTACTGGATCACCTTCAACGAGCCTTGGTGCATCAGTGTTCTTGGATACAACAATGGTTCCTTCGCCCCGGGTCACACCAGTGATCGCACAAAGAGCCCAGTGGGAGATAGCTCCACTGAGCCGTGGATTGTCAGCCACAGCTTGCTAGTTGCCCACGGAGCTGCGGTGAAGATTTACCGCGAGGAATTCAAAGAACGGGACGGTGGTGAGATTGGCATTACGCTAAACGGTATGTTCCCATTCTCCCCCGGAACGTATACAGAGCCTCTACTAATCAAATCAATCAAATAGGTGACTGGGCCGAGCCCTGGGATGCTGAGAACCCAGCCGACGTGGAAGCCTGTGACCGCAAGATTGAGTTCGCCATCTCATGGTTCGCTGACCCGATCTACCACGGCAAATACCCAGACAGTATGATCAAGCAACTTGGCGACCGCTTGCCAACCTGGTCACCGGAGGACATTGCCCTTGTCAAGGGCAGCAATGACTTCTACGGCATGAACCACTACTGCGCGAACTTCATCCGCGCCAAGACTGGAGAGGCGGATATCAACGATATCGCGGGTAACCTGGAGCTCCTGCTAGAAGACAAGAACGGCGTCAGTGTCGGCCCTCTTACACAATCGCCTTGGTTGCGACCATCTGCTATCGGATTCCGGAAACTGCTCAAGTGGCTCAGTGAGCGGTACGGATATCCCAAGATCTATGTCACCGAGAACGGTACTAGTGTCCTAGGCGAGAACGATATGCCGCTTGAGGAGTTGCTCAACGATGAGTTCCGTGTGCAGTATTTCCGGGATTATGTCGGTGCCATGGCTGACGCCTATACTCACGACGGCGTCAATGTCCGGGCTTACATGGCTTGGAGTCTTATGGAGTATGTTTGGACCTTGTTCCCTCGATGATTTTGATATAAAGTCCCACTAACTTGTTTACTTCCAGCAACTTTGAATGGGCCGAGGGCTACGAGACCCGCTTCGGTGTTACCTTTGTCGACTATGAGAACGACCAGAAGAGAATTCCAAAGAAGAGTGCCAAGGAGATTAGTCAGATCTTTGATCGGTTGATCGAGAAGGCCTAAGATGGACGCGGCGCTGATTGATATTTATACCGGTGAACTCCGGCGATTTCCATGATACCTGGATTCTGTACGAAGTTTTTGAATGCACATGATATTTGATTTTTTTTTTTTAAAGTCACGCTGTGAGCCCTGTAGCATAGCAACCCCTGTGAGGGTTGTGAGAGATAGAAAACAGGGATGAAGGTACGTAATATTGAGTTGAGAGATCATGTGAGAAGAGCGATGCAGTGCACCCCAGCTTCTTGGCTATGGTATGACATCGGGACTCTTATTTGGTCATTGTTGATCCATGCATCGGCATGTTTGCCTGGATTGAGGATACGCCACAAGCAGGTCATAACTACATGCTTACTAGTACATAGATAGAGCTAGTCCCCGGTTTTTCTAGAGATTCCACCTTTCAAGATCTCTCTCTGGCTTCATCATCTATATAATTTACAAAATGTGTCCCGGGAATAGACCGGGTTTATAGGACAGTATAGGACACCGATCTTGTCCAGCACAGTTATTTTGAATTTCTGAAATGACCTTAATCCAATAGCTCCTGTCGACGTTTCTACTTACATAAAACATAAGTCAGCTTGTGCTTATTCTTCTTTCTGGGAGAAATTAGAGCTGGGGTTTGGTTATGATAGAAAGCAGGATATAAACATTCAATCTACCCCATTTGATTATTTTTCGATGATTAGTTCTTCCTACATGAATGCATCATCAATGGTCTGTACCCAATAGATTGACTTGTCTAACGCTGCGTAGTCTTGTGGTAACTGCCCAAACATGTTCCTGGATGGACTTAGCCCAGTCACTTCTGTTATACTTCCAAAAAGAGCAATGTTGGTGCCTGAGGAATATATCTCTGTCGGAGGATACACTTGCCCTCTAGAAGGTTCTTAATACTTTAATAATATATCGTTTTACTCTCTAGGCTATATAAACAATCTTTGCCTAGTCCTCTATGTGATTGGAAGCTACATGCATAACCGATGTGAATTCTGATACCCGGGGGATAAGTAAATCCGCCTCCGAATGAGATATCCTCTCCATTCCTCTAGAGCTACAATCTATTGACCTTGAATTAAGTCGTCAAGAACATCATGGATATATCCGAAATCTCCAATCGGCTTTTGCCGGAACCCAAGAGATTCCCAGACTGCTGCTTGGCCATCTCCAGCACTTTGATCGCCTATCTTGCTTCGCTCCTCCCCAAAAAACCCGCATTCACCATCTCAGTCGGCAGCGGATCTGGTCTCCTCGAAGGTCTCATCGTGCATTACGACAAGAATGTGTCCGTCGAGGGTGTTGAGGTGGACTCAACTATTAATCGGTACATTACCGAAGAAGATATGAATATCGTTGGCGGAGGTTGGGGCCTTTGGCCTGCCGCCCAACAGGCTACAGCGTGGATGTTTGTCTACCCACGCGATCCAAAACTCATCACCAAATATATTGATACCTATGGTGATCAAAATGTTGATTTCATTGTCTGGCTCGGGCCTCGGGTCGATTGGCCAGATTATGAGCCGCGTTTCTGTCAATCTCCATTCTCCGAGTTGAGTTTTCCAGATCATATTGGACTAACACCATACGAGACTGTGGTTGTTGCTAGAAAACCATGATATGAAGCCGTTCCACATTGTGAATTTGGAAGATCATGTTATATACCTGGTGCATTAGAGGGGTTTTCTGTTTTGTAATATAGTTGTAGCCGTTTCTCCCTTCTATCCTCATAGATCGTCTCTATTACGATGTTGTTTGTTGGCAGTTCATACATTACAATCCTGGATACTCCACAGATCGGTATACAAGTGACATATACCTAATGTAGATGGAGACAGTCCTCAGGTTCTCTCTATATACTTCTACTCGTTCGCATCCTTCCTATATGCCCTCATTATATAAATTTATCAAACCAACCCGAAGGCTCTACAGCAGAATATTTTATATCTAAATGAAAAAAGAATGTTGATTTGAGAGCCTTGTGAGTATGACTCTCTATTGCCTCGACAGTCTTCCCCCATTTATCTTTCCATCTGTCAACATCGCCATCAGTCGTATGCAAAGTATGTTCCCTTTCTATCCCATCACTCATCAACATCACTCTCACATTCGCTCCCTTTCCTTTTCATCTCCCGTCAATATCACACACTCTCATATATAAAGTCACTTTCATTTCATTTACTATTCTGCTTAACTCCTTTTATCCACCTCCTAAGATAGTATGGCACGAGAAGCCGAACAAGACAAATCCGGACATTTGATCAAGAGGCGCAAGCTCCAGTCTATCCCAGATCCACAATCCCTCCGATACCAAGCATGATATGTTTTCATTGAGTCTAGTACCCAAGAGCTTCAGCGAGCTTTCTAGAAAGATTTTGTACAGAATCATTGTGTTGCGTTCTGCGCTTGGGATTGAGGGCCCGAATACAAATTGTTGAATGACTCGAACGTCGAGATGAGAAGGCTAGTACAAACTATCATTGCCCAGAACTACGGGGGTCCTAGTCACAGTAAATAAATTTTAGATCATTGGCCGTTTCCTTGTCTCCCAAAGTAATCCATACATTCAATTAAATCTAAGCGCGAGGCTAAGCTTAAAGCGCATACCTAAAATTCTTGGACTCCATATCCGTCATATCCTTGAAGCCATCCAAGATAGCCTGAGAGGTAATATCCTCCGGGGTCTCATCAGTATCAGCCGCAACCATTGCAGCATCCCTCCTTGAATTCTCCCACTTCATCGACATATATCCCACGCATGCTAGCACAATGATGCCCGCATAGCAAATGAGCAGGCCTAGCAGACCCGAGTAATAGCGGGGGGACTCGTTGGCAAAAAAGATATTCGCTCCCGCAACATTACCGGCCGCATAGAGCGAGAACCAGAGACCATTAGCCACCGCACGCTTGGTGTGGCCGGCAACATTGGTGGCAAGTAGATTCCACGAGATAATAACGGGGGCACCAACAAGATACTGTAGCCAGGTGCATCCAACTAACGTCCAGGGGTGGTCGAGACTAGTAAAGCGGATACCCAGAAGACCGCCGAAGGGGATCAAACATACGACTGCGAGAACGATGCAGCGGGAATCTTTAACGTATGTAGCAATGATACCGCAGATTGGAACCACCACTGCCTCAATCGCACCTGTGGGTAGTTGAAGGAGTGTAGTGTAGATCCCGCTGAAACCAAAGCCTTTGATCAAGGCTGATGCGAAATTCGATGAACCGCCGTTGATCACACCACAGGCGATGCCGACTCCCGCGCAGCAGAGGACCCTGATATCCCAGAGAATCTCTAGTGCCTGACGTGGTTTGATATCCTTGGTCTTCACGCCAATCATGTTTTCGGCGACACGCTGCACGGCGATCACACGCTGTCGGTGAGTCAGGAAGCGGGCAGAGTTGGGCGAGTCTGGCATGAGCCAGAGGAAGAGACAGGCGCAGAGGAAGTTGAGCAGTCCGATGGTTAAGAAAATCAACTGCCAGCTCTTGAGCGCAGTGTTGTGTGAATGGCCCAGGCCGAATCCTAGTAGTGCTCCTACCATCGTGGCCATGCCATTTGCGCTGAGCCAGACAGCCATGCGCAAGGGTTGTTCGGATCGCTTGTAGAACATCGATGTCAGGTTCATCACTAGATACGAAATAAATGTGTTAGTGCTCTTCATGTCTTTGGTTTGCGTTCTGGAAAACTCACTGCACGGACTGATTCCGGCTTCTGCCATGCCCAAGAGGAATCTCAATACCAGTATTCCTGGGTAGTTCTTCGCTCCAACATGTGCAACAACAAGTACACTCCAAACGAAAAGCATACCACCCATATATTTGGCGATTGGCAATCGCTGGATTAGTAGGTTGGCTGGGAGAGCCCAGAAGAGATAACCGAAATTGAAAATCGCAGCAACCCATGAGTATCGTTGGCCTTCGAGACCGAGGTCTGGGATCAAGGAGTATGCCGATGCATAATTAAGTGATAGTTTGTCTAGAGAGGTATATTAGCTATAGAGTAACGATGGAGACTCCATTTTGCATACCAAGGAATTGAATAACATATGTCAGGTAGAGCTATATAACAGACTGTTAGAAATCACCCTTATCAACGTATCTGAGTGGTCACTCACCATGGGCATAATCCTCCAGTCGATAATCCTCAGCACCTCGGCGCCCTCAACCTCCAGTTCCTCAGCAGTAAACTGCTCTGCCTCTAGATATAGATTTGCTCCGATATCATGAGTCTCGCCGAGTGCAACATGAGTAGCATTTTTCTCTGTGGACTGATCCACTTTTGTATTGGGGTCCATTATAGGTAGGGGTCAAGTTGGATAGAACTGGGAACCCATATCGAAGTCCTGGTTATATATAAATCCACACCTATCAGCGCCAAGAAGATAAGCATGATTATTTTATCTGTGAAGTTCTCTTTGGTCAAAATGGCTTTGGAGATAGCAGAGCGGTCAATAGTCCGAAAAGTGTGGGGAAGGCGGACTATAGTCCGCTTTACGGGGGTATACTTATCTCTACATCTATTACATTTTTACTGTTTACTATCACTTTCTGCATTCTACTTGCATTCTACTTGTTCAAAAGATTCCTGACGAGGTCATCGTCATGGCTCAATCAAAAGACTTCTCGCTCTTAGACGCGAGTATCTCCGAACTCCAGTCTGCACTTTCTGCAGGATCGCTCTCTAGTGTCGGCTTGGTATCACGGTACCTACGACGAATCAGCGTCTACGACGCAAACAGTCTAGAACTCACCGCCATCCCAATCCTAAACCCATTCGTTCTCGACGAAGCAGCCGCCTCTGATGCCCGGCGGGCAGCCGGTCTGCCGCCGCGTCCATTGGAGGGTATTCCGTACCTCGCAAAAGACAGTATTAAGGTTAAGGGCATGACCGTTGCGAGCGGATCACCTGCATTTGAAACTCTCATTGCCAACGAAGATGCTGCATGTATCCAATTTCTCCGCCAGGCCGGCGCCGTGCTCCTCGGCCGAACGAACATGCCCGCCATGGCATACGGTGGGATGCAACGTGGGTGCTATGGGCGCGCTGAAAGTCCGTATAATCCTGCATACCTGGCTGCGGCATATGCCTCTGGTTCATCAAATGGATCGGCCGTCGCAACGGCGGCCAACTTTTGTGCCTTTTCTCTAGGCACCGAGACTGTATCTTCAGGTCGCTCGCCGGCCTCAAATAATGCCATTGTTGCATACACACCTTCAAAGGGCCTTCTTCCTCTCCGTGGTGTCTGGCCACTCTACTTGACCTGTGATGTCCTGGTCCCTCATACTAGGACTATGGCAGATATGTTCCAGGTCCTAGACGTTCTTGCGGTGTCCGACGAAGCCCCGATAGGAGATTTCTACCAGGAGCAAAAGCTCATATCCCTCCCTTCAATCAATACACTCCGACCACAGTCCTTTTCAGAATTACAAGATAGCACATCCTTGCGCGGGAAGCGCATTGGTATACCGTCAATGTACATCGGAGGCGACGATACTCCTCTATCCCCAGCCAGCAGAGTAAACACCCGGCCCTCCATAGTCAAACTATGGCAGAACGCCAGAAAGGCCCTCGAGTCCTGCGGTGCGGAGGTCATCGAAACGGACTTCCCCCTCGTGACAACCTACGAATCCAACGCAGACAAAGGTCAGCTTGTCACCGTTGCAGGGCTACCAGAAGGCTGGCCGGCGCTGGAGCGGAGCGAGCTTGTCGCACATATCTGGGATGACTTCCTGATTAACAACGGGCAAAAAGGTCTCGAGACTCTTTCTCAAGTTGATCCGACGACTATCTTCCCGCTTGCGCCGGGGTCTCTGAGGGGTGCGCCCGATGCAGCTAATGCGCTGCGGTGGGATGAGATGGTTAAATACCCGCACCGGAGGCCGGCATCTATTTATGAGATCCCCGGCATTCAGCAGGGAATCCAGGCCCTTGAGAATGCGCGCAAAGAGACTCTTGAGGACTGGATGGATGGGCTTGGGCTTGATGCTGTGGTTTTCCCGGCTAATGGTGATATCGGAGCTGCTGATGCCGACTGCGATGAAACAGCGTCGTTGTTTGCGTGGAGTAATGGCGCCAAATACTCCAATGGTAATAGGCCTATTCGTCATCTTGGTGTGCCCACTATCTCCGTTCCTATGGGTATCATGGAAGATACGGGGATGCCGGTGAATCTTACCTTTGCTGGAAAGGCATATGATGATAACAGCCTACTTAAGTATGGCTTTGCCTTTGAGACGGCAATGAAGGGCCGTGTTCAGCCATCGCTCGTGCCTGCTCTTGACTCTGATCTCATCAAGGCTGCTCAAGATCCTCAGTCATGGGATTCTCCGTCGACCGTTGAGTTGGTGGTAGAGACTCAAGTGAAGGAGATTCACGATTCCACCGTTGTGATCCAGATCCAGGGATCAATGGTACTCAAGGACTCCCAGTTGGAGTCTTTGGAATGCCATGTTAACGGCCAAGTGGTCAAGCCAATCATAGAGGGCGATAGATGGTTTATCCAGGCTTCCTATCCCGCATCGGAACGTGACCAACCCTGGAGGAGGTGGTCGAGTCCTGCTTTAACACAGACTATCGTAGTTATCACAGCTTATACCAAGGCGGGCTCGACAACGGGCAAGTTGATCTTATTATGACAGACCTAGCGTCGTCAAAATGAACGCAACTCTTCTTTTTATTACTCGATTATGTAGTACTCTCATAAAGTAAAAAGCTCTCATATTTACAATACCTCTTTGAAATCGTCCTCTAACAAGTCCTGATGTATACTTCCCCCATACATCATATCTTCAATCATCCCCAAGACAGCTCGGTGCAAATAATTCTTCTTCAGCTGCTCCAAGTGCAATTCAGCCTCTTCAAGTGATACCGGAGTACTAGAATTAGGTTCAAATGTGCCAGTGTTCCACATAATCTTCTGTCGTATGAACTCGAGCACATTCATATACGGCGTTGCGTCCTTCCATCGGTCGACAAAGCCAGCCAGGTTGGCTGAACATGTAGCAACAGCTTGTCTGATACGCTGTTGATTGCGAATATCAGAAACAGGAGCTGTTGCCCAGACAATGTATAGCATCATGATTCCTGCCCGGAATTGGAACACAAGCTAATGATGGATTTATTGTTAGTTCAGAGTGTACCATGATAGAAATGAAACTGGACTCTTGACACATACTGCAGACCAGGTATAACACATCACATGTCCTTCTTCCTGGAAGAGCCGGAAATTATGACAGGCTTCCGCAATTGTCGCGAGGATTTCCTCCGTTCCGTCCATCTCGATGAAATCACGTTTCTCTTCTATCAGGATCAAGAGACTGTAAACATACAGCTTTCGCATCCATATAGGATGGAGATACCCGTGTTGAGCATTGTCTGATTCATAGTTTGGAATCTCCTGTCGCCATTTATCAAGAGCAGACTTGAATGAGGAGCTGTAGCCTTTACCATCTCTGGCAAGGGGATTGCGGGGCCGGTTCTCCCGCGATCTTCTGATGCCGGCTTGGATCTTGCGTAGTCGGAACAAGTGGCGTATGGCGGGGTTTGTACTTAGGGTTGGTTGGAGGGTATCTCCCAGAGCGCACATCTAAGTTGAGAATTAGTGACCGAGAGAAGCTAAGTAGAAACTTCTCTTGGGATTACTCACGTCATCATCAACAACCCTGTAGGCAGCTGATACTGGGCGATCCCACCCAGAGACAATGACTTCATTGAGCATATAGCAAGTGATGAACATGTTCTCAGACAAAATTTCACTAGACTCGGTCATGGACCCATTGTCGCGGTATATCGATACGTGCTTTTGAATCTCTGTCATGGCAGCTGTGCAGAAAGGTAACACAGAGGAGACGCTCGTTGTGATATCCTCTGAAGAAGGAGAATGCATAGCATAAAGTATCATGAACAGTGAAGCTTGGATTTGTAAGACCATAGACGAATGTCCGACAACATATGGGTAATATCTCATGGCCGAGGCATAATATTCCTTTGACCGGACGGAGTGCGAGGGGTCTCGCTGGAGATTACTGCAAAGGGATGCACCAATAGCATATACCATTTGCAGAAAGAAGGCTTTCCATTCATCCTGCCCATCTAGGATTGCTTCGGCATGCCATGATTTCCAAGCTGCTTCATTCAAGAACGGCCATTCGCGGTGAGTCACCGAGAAATAAACATTTGTGTAGAGCTCTCTCGGCCAAGGAGAGTCGCCATCGGTCAAAGGATATGAGGGTGCCAAGTCGATCCATGGGACGTCGAAAGTCGTCTCCGGGAATAAAGAAAACGCATCCGAGGAGAAAGATGGTGGAGATGTTCGAGGTGATCCGTGGCTGCTGTGTTGCAAGTCTGACAGAAGTATGAGAGATTCATCTTTCTCTACTCTGCTACTATTCTGGTCGGTCACCAGGTAGTCTGAGTCATTGCGCTTGTGTTCTAGGTCTTCAAAATCCGTCTGGACACCAGCATCACATGTTTCCACTGTTGTTTCTGTAACACTGGGCTCACGATCCAGCTCCGCGACCCGTTTCTCGAGCTGTCTCAAATATTCCAGCGGGATTGTGATGTTATCTCCCGTTTTCCGAGACCGAGCAGGCAAGCATTCAGCACCCTTGCGACGACATTCGCCACATGAAGGTTTCGCATGATCACATTTCCGCTTGTGTCGGAAGCAGCGAGCGCATGCTATATCTCTTTGCTTCAGGGGGCGCGACATGCAGCAATTGGGCACATATAGGGAGTGGGAGGAAATGCGGGGAGACCTGCGATAACGGAGTTGATCCACGCCGGTGCGATATCTCCTTATTAACTGGCTATAATAGGAAGGTCTAGGCGATGTTGATAAGAAATGGTTTATTAACCATATATACTGCTTCTTGTTAAGATATGTAACACAGTAAGAGATCTTAGCATCGTCAAGTCGGGTTGGAAATAAAGTCCATGGTCATAACATTCATACCCGTTTCCCCAAGCCCTATTAAGAACTCTCACTGGATCAACGAGTCGACAGCGACATTCAGCGTTTGATCCATTTTTGAGCCTCTGCATCATATCCAATCAACTTTGGATCAACATGTAGACTCTTGAGCATGAACTCCATCGTGAACTCCTAAGTGACAATGTCAGCACGCAGAGTCCACCAAGAAGCACGGCAATACCACTACACGTACCTCGGCCTGACTCTCCTCTCCATTATTCTTCTTTGGTAGATGGCCAGAAGAATCCTCGGCGTCGTAGTTGTCAAGATCTCCCTCGTCCTCGTCAATGTGCTCCCGCTCACCACGCTGCTCGTCAAACTCCCACCGAGTTGCATCACGCTTCGACTGCTCTTTCCAGGCCGCCATTCCTCCCATGCGATCAACCCTTTCCTTGGCACCGACAAATACCTCATCGGCTGCATCCTGGCTAGCGAGTCGCCATTTGGTAATGAGGTTTGGAATCTCCATGTATTTAGTGTTTGTCTCGAGGTTGCGGGCCTGAGTTGCGAGTTCGAGTTTGGCTATGAGCGCATCAACCTTTGACTGGACCTCTCGGTGCTGTTTTTGCAGTTCTAGGATCTCTGGGTCGGAGGTTTGGAATGATTGTGAGGGTAATGGGGACAAGAGATGTAGCGTGCGTTTGCGCTTAGGAAGTACTGGAGTTGTTGTCGGACTTGGTGTATTTAACATTGAGTCGGACTCTACAGGAATGGTAACAGTCGCTGAAACTTTTGCGTCATCGGGAGTCCTGGGTGCGACAGACTTGGATGGTGTGTCGTCGGTGTTTGTTGGTCCAGGTCTGCGTAGCGGAGACTTGAACGGCTTTGAGAGAGCCGTGGCTGGGCTGATGCGACGACGTTTACTAGAAGGCTTGTTCATCATCAATTTGATACAGACTTCAAAAGTTCGATGTGTGTTCAAAAGAAGAAATATAAAAAAAGTTGGAGAAGCCAAGTGAAATGCGGAGATGCAGTCTTATCGATAAGCAATGGAATTTATCTACAGGTCGCAGGTCGCGCTGAAATACACTAGATTCTCAATGACCAATTCCTCCTGCTACCCATTGCCCGAATTCAGGGTCGCCAGGTCGAGGGAATACCCCACGATCGTTGGCGTTCCCATTTCCATTCTGGGCATTGGGATTAGCGTTCTCATTCTGTCGGTTGCGCTGCTGCTGCTGACGGAAATAAACCAAAATCAACAGCGTAGCAGCCAATCCGACAATGAGGAGACCCTCGAGCATTCCCTCGTCGATATCCAGGTCCAGGTCATCATAGTAGCCGTCCTCGTGCCCTTCAGACTCCAAGCCACGATATTCATCATCCTCTCGTTGTTGTTCGTAAAGGTCTTCATAATAGCCCTCTTCGTCGTTCTCGATGAAAGCCTTGACCCATTCCTTGAAGGTACGACGGGGCTTCGAGTCTGGTGGAAATTGTAAGTAAGAAACTAGAAAGACGCGATTGATTCCACGGGGTAAGTGGGGATGAGTTGCTTACCTTCCTCCTCGCGGATGGGGTTAATATCTCCGTTGGTGAAGCGATTCCAGTATCCTCGAATTCGGAGTTTGATCAAGCTGAGCTTGACTGGCAGATACGCCTCGGGGCTGAGATCGAGAGCCAGGTCATAATACCGCTTGGCCATGTGGAAATCCTGATCCACTGCCACGCCATTCTCATGCATCCAGCCCAGATTCCAGTAGCCCTGTGCACTGTGGTGGGCTTCAGCGGCATTGTGGTAACAGATCGAGGCCTTTTCCGCATCGACAGGTGTGCCCGTGCCAGACAGGTAGTAGTCACCCATCTTGACCAAAGAGTCGATGTTAGCTTGCTTCGAAGAGCGGGTCCAGTAAATCAACGCGAGTCTCGCATTGTGCATCAAGGAGGAGCGAGCCTTCTCCGCCCACGGAATAATGGAACTGAGCGAGAGCACAGAGCGATGCTCATCAAGCAGATAAGCCACATTCGCCTGTGCATTCTCATAACCCTGCTCTGCTGCCATCATCGATGGGATGAGAGCGCCCTCCTTGTCACCAGATTCGTAAGCAGTATTTGCCTCTGCGAAGGCTGAATGGACAATCTCTGCCTTTTCGGCAACCATTTTGTAGTAGGCAGCGGCAACGCCACAGTGCCGCTGTCTCCCAATACCGAAGTTGGCCATTTCCGCTAGGTAGTAGTATGCCTCCATCCACCCCCAGCGGGCTGCAAGCTCAAAGTAACGTGTTGCGCTTGCCACGTCTCCTTGATCCAAGAAAAGAGCACCCAATCGTGATTCTGATGCCGGAGAATCCTGCTCTGCCGCTGCTTTGAAGTAGTGAGATGCCTTGAAGCCATCCTGTGGAACCCCATAGCCCTTGAGATACATTAGACCCATCCAATGCTGGCAGAGAGAGTCGCCGTTCGCAATACCCCGTCGGAACCATGTGAGGGCAGTCGGGTAGTGTTGCTCAACCCCCTCTCCGCGGAGGTACATCAGACCGATATGTCCTGCGGCCTTGGATGCCAGTTTATCAAGGCCTGCAGGAGGGTTTGAGTTGACGGACCCATCTTTGTTCCAATATTTCTTAGTAACAACCTTGAAATACCTCATAGCCCGTCGGAAATTCCGCGGCAAGCCCCGGGCGCCCTCGTAGTTCATCTTACCGAGGGTGTACGTAGCTTTTAGCTCGCCCTTTCGGGACATGAGGTCCAAGTACTCTAGGATATCTTCCACGCTGGCCTCAGGGGTGGCATTGGCAGAGTCCCGCGCATTTTGACCCGAGCTCGACACACTGGCTCCTGGGCCGTATACACCACCTTCTTCATCTGCCCAACGATAAGATTCTCGAACCAAAGCCCTACCACCCGGAGGGCCTGAGCGGTAGTACTCGATCGTCTTGTCCGCAACCTTCTTGTAGTAATGGATCGCGTGGTCACAATCCTTCGGTGTTCCAATGCCAGTGTGGTACCGATATGCAAGTGTCATCTCCGAGCGGATGTTCCCTGCTTCCGCTGCAAACTCATGGTACATTAGGGCCTTTGCCTGGTCGGGTTCGACCGCACCGCCGATCCCCGTCGCATACATGAACCCGACCATGTTCTGCGCTGTGTTATTCCCGTCCAGCCATGCCAGCTCATGGTACCGGCGGAAGGCCTCTTTGAAGTCGCGGGGATAGGAGAAGTTGCCATAGAAGTTCATCTCTGCTAACAAAAATATCGCATCCGGGTCTTGGTCTTCGTCTGCGGCTGTTTTTAGCTCCTCCACTGCTGCTGTAACATGTTTGTTCAATTTCCGCTCGGGCTGTTCGGTGGAAGGGCCATTCAAGAATAGCAGTCGGACCGTTTGGCGGCCATAGTATACGGCAGTCCCAAGTAATCCTCTTGACTTGTCGGCTTGAAGGACTGTGTTCTTTGTTGTGCGAAGTGTATCCCAGGCATTCTCAACTCGTTCTATTATCAGACGATAAGGTTGGTCAGTATCAAGCGTTAGTCGGTAAGGCGCGAGGCCCGGAAGTTGTCTCTACTCACGAGTCATGGGCCGGGGTTCTGCTTCCCCTGTCTGGAACGTAAATTCGTGATTTGCATCGTGGCCGATTGCTCCGGTGGTTGTTTGGTCAGTGAGCGGCTGACCAGGCCCGGCTGCACACGTCTGGGATAGCACTGGAAACTGGAGTCAGCTACGGTTGCGGTCCTGCAGGTGCGGGCAAATCTTACGCAGGGCCGAGAGAAAGAGTGAGAACGGCGTCCTCATAATGCCTGCAAAATACTGATATAATGTCGGAGTGTGAAGCACATTGCGACTCTCAGAGCAATGCGAATCACAAAAGCGACAGAGCTGGATCGTGATATGATGTAGTTGCCAGAGTACGGGCCACTTGGCTTGACGGAGCTTCATTTTGCCGAGGGCCAATCACTACATTACATTGTATGTACCGATGTACCTGGGTACCATATATGCATCTGTAAGGCATTTTTTCTATATGTATGATGTATAATATTCCAAGATCCTTCTTGGCTATCTCATTTAACATGTTCTTCGATTCGCACATGATACTAGGACAGAATCTAGACTTCTCTAAACCACCAAATCCTAGGAATCTACAGAGATTCTTGTTTTCTACGAGTTATAGGGAAAGGATTGGGAATGTCATGAACATTGTTGGAATCTACTCGTCCCCTGAGGAGGGTGTGTACAAAACGGAAAGCAGCAGTCAAAATACATCCCCAGTGCGCTTTCCATGCAATAAAAAGGATGTGTACACAAATTCCCCAATGGCAACCAAAGTCCGCACTCCTATCTCACAGCATCCATGGAGTTTGTCCTCGGTTCTGATCGAAGCATGTGCGGTCTTTGCACGATGGGGGAATAGTGCGCCCGAAAAAAGCAAAGCAATCTCAAAACGATGGCGGCTGAAACCAAACGGGGGGCACGCGTTGTTGGTTAATTGGTTAAAAAAAAAAGACTAAACAGATACAATGAATGGGAGGCAATCCCCGATATCGTGAAAAAAAAATTATCAATCATTTCCGAGATTTGTAGCGCGAAAAGATCTTTTTTGTTTAGTGGTTGGGGTTCAATTCGATGATGGTACAGGTGTGGAGCACGACCCTGAGACAGGCAAGCCATCTTTGCACGATATTCACTGGCGCGGCGACGTAGGACTGTACGCCGGAGATGTCGGGCTGTACGCCGGAGAGGTAGGCGACGTTGGAGAACCAGAGAAATTGGGAGAAGTCGGCGAGTAAGACTGAGGGCTCGTAGGAGACCAACCAGGCGAAGTTGGTGTGTACTTGGGAGAGGTGGGAGATGTTGGAGACAGGTGCCGAGCACCACCAATCGCAGGACTGGTGGGACTGTAGCTCGGCGAAGTCGGACTGAACGCCGGCGAGGCCGGACTAAAGCTGGGGGAAGTCGGGCTATAGTTAGGCGACGTCGGCGAGAACCCAGGCGAAGTTGGAGAGTATGAAGGAGAGGTGGGTGACGCTTGGCCGTACGCGGGCGAGGTTGGCGAATAAGCCGGAGACGTCGGCTGGAACGATGGGCTGGAAGGTGAGAACCCTGGGGAGGTCATCATTCGCGGGCTTGTCATTCCAATGCCAGGAGATGTCGGTGAATAGCTCGAAGATGGAGAGTATCCAGGAGACGTCGGGCTAGTATTGAAGGGACTTGTTGGGGAGTAGCCACCGGGGCTGCGAGCCGCAGGACTGAAGCCACCAAAGGAAGTCGAGCTAGCCTGGTACTCGGTGAGACCTCCAGTCGGCTCCTGGCCAATCTGGTGCATAGGCGAGAACGTCGCATCGGGATCGCTACCGGCCATGTAGGGGGAGCTAGGCATAGGAGAACCGGTGTCATACTGAGTAGCAGCACCGTCCGAAATAATGGCATCCTTTGCGCCGACTGCACCCATAAGGCCGTAGCGTGCATTGTTGGACACGACAGTGTTGAGCAAGCTCTGGTCCAGGTAGACGTCAAACTCACCCGTTCCGGCAGGCGCCATCTGTCCAAGGATCAAGTTCTCCGACACACCGCGACAATCGTCAAGTTCTCCGAACGCAGCAGCCTCCAGCAGAATTTCAACTGTCTCTTCGAATGAACAACGCATGAGGGCACCATTGTCGGCACGGTTGATACCGTGACGGGTAACAGGAGTCAGATAACCACGAACAGTCATAACATCAACCAGCAGAGCCAAGTGACGGTGATTAACGTAAGAACCGTCGAAGGCGAGCACCAGGGTCAATTCGCGAAGCACAGCTGTACGGGCAGCCTCAATACCGAAGACCTCGAAAATCTCAATAAACTGGTTAGAGTAGGTGCGCGAGGCGTCGACGCCCGGAATCGAAAGAACAGCAGCCAAAGAAGATCCACTGGTTTCCAGAACCCATTCCTTGCAAAGCGGATCAGACTTGCTAGTGTGGAGCGAACCATCTTCGATGACTCGGACCTTGGCCTTCTCGTTGATGAAAGCACGGTCAACACCGGGAACACCACGAAGGGTCAAAGTGTCCAGTAAGTGCTGCTCAAGTTTCTTCAAGGTTACATCGTACTCAACATCTTCATCATCGTCATCCTTGTAGTCTTGGACTTGACGGATACGAATAACTTGCTCGTCGGCGTTGTTATCACTGAAGATGACGGCAATATCACGGGGATAGGCCTGCTTGATCCTTGTAGCAACGTCCTGCACCGTGAGACCCTTATCAAGGAGGGAGCGGCGACTGAGAACAATACGGAGCAACCACTTCGACTGCTGAGATGCGTCGTCGGCATTATCCTCAGGAATGATGAAGTATGATTCCACCATATCCCTATCGTTTTCGATAACAGTTGACTGAATATCGGGATCATAGTAAATCTCCGTCGACTCCGTGACGGACCGCAGACTAGTATGCTCCACGAGACTTCGAAGGAGTTTGGCACCCTCCTTATCGTGGGTCATCATACCTTCTTGGTACACAGTCATGGATGGTGTCTTGATGTTGGTGGCAACGTTGAGAATTTCCTTAAGACGTGGAACACCAAGCGTGACGTTCTTGGAGGACACACCAGCAAAGTGGAAAGTGTTCAGCGTCATTTGAGTCGCAGGCTCACCAATAGACTGAGCTGCAAGAACACCAACCATTTCACCAGGGTTGGCGGCCGCACGAGCGAAACGACTTTCAACAGCACCCAATACGTGCTGGAATGCTAGCTTGTTGAGCGAATAGTCTGTGACAAGTCGACGGAAAGCGAGGCGACTGCGCAGTTGCGCCTTGAACAGCAAAGTTGCATTAACCTGAGCCTCCTTCGAAATGGGATCATCACCACGAACGATCACCAGGCGATCCAAGAGTTGCTGAACTTGGGGAATGACCTCAGCAGGGTGCAAGTCACTGATTGTGCCCTCACGAATACGGAAAGTGGTTCGGGCCATTTCCAGGATACGCTGGACATTAATGGGAAGCTGCATCATCTCCTCATCTTCCTTGACCACTGTGCGCAGGAAGTCACGATCCTTCAGAATGGCCTCCCATTCTTCGTCGAAGTATCTCTGTACCTCCATATCGCCGGCGATTTCGTTGGCTTGCTCCAAAATCTCTGGGCCGAGAGTTCGCTCGGGGTCCATAACATCAACACGGAATCGTTCGATGAGCTTCGCATCGGAACACTTGATGTGATCGACACGCTGGTTCTCGATGTGGGCACCGTCGAGACCATCCTCTCCGTAGATGAACTGAATGATATCTCCAAGGGAGTTACGCACAGTACCATCATACTTGACCATGACTTCTTCAAGGGCCTTGACCAGCTTACGCTGGATGTAACCAGTTTCGGCAGTCTTGACAGCAGTATCAATCAGACCTTCACGACCAGCCATGGCGTGGAAGAAGAATTCAGTAGGAGTCAAGCCACGGAGGTATGAGTTCTCGACGAATCCACGCGACTCGGGGGAGTAATCGTCCTTGGTGAAGTGAGGGAGGGTACGATACTTGAAGCCGAACGGAATACGCTTGCCCTCCACAGACTGTTGTCCGACAAGCGCAGTCATCTGCGAGATATTGATTGCCGAACCCTTAGAACCGGACCGCGCCATTTGAATCGCGTTGTTCAGATCCTTGAGACTCTTTTCTGTGGCATCACCAGCTTCGTCACGAGCATTGTTCAAGGCACGAGAAACTTTACTCTCGAATGTCTCACGCACATTCATACCAGGGAGGGCTTCCAGTGTGTTTTCAGTGGCACTGGCCGTAATCTCCTCGACTTCCTGTTTTCTGTTCCGGACGGCCTCCTCAATCTTGTTGATAGTATTTTGATCGGGAATGGTGTCACCGATACCGATACTGAAACCGTGGTGCAGCAACCAGTACCCAACAATGGTTTGGGCTCCAGTGAAGAATTTGACACAAGTGTCAGGACCGTACTCGTTGAAGATGGTGTGGATGACACCACCTCCACTGGCACCGACCGTTTTCTTGGAGAGCATACCATACATCAGCTGTCCACCGTGAATCAAGAGACCTCCATCGTTGAGAGGACTGAACTTCTCAGCCAAAGGCGAGCCGTCCTTGTCCACGCGCAGAAGATTGAGGCCTGAGGGGAAGGCCATGCTAATAATCTGCTTTCCCGTCCAACGGGGGCGAGGCTTAATAATTGCGGGGGGTGGAATAGCACCATCCCAGTCAGGGACCCACAGCATGAGGTTCATGACTTGGTCCTTGGTGAGGAAGCTGTCACGACGGCAGATCTTGTAGATACCGCAGAGGGTATCCTGCACAATACCCATCAGAGGACCGTTACGCTGCGGAGAAACAATGTTCTTCGGTACCAAAGTGAGCTCGGCGAGCTCAGCGCGCGCCTCTTCGCCCTGGGGGACGTGCAAATTCATCTCATCACCATCGAAATCGGCGTTGTAGGGACTGGTAACCGACAAGTTCATTCGGAATGTGGAGAAGGGCATAACACGGACACGGTGACCCATCATGGATTCCTTGTGCAAAGACGGCTGACGGTTGAACAGAATGTAATCACCATTGTCAAGATGGCGCTCGACCTTC